CCAGCCCTATGCACTGGAACCCAACCCAACCTCAGGGCGCTCGGGGCGTCGTTCTCGACGAGAAATCAATTTGAGAGCTGCGTTGATGGTTCCAGGACGTGCACTTTGTCAACTACAATTCTGCTTGGAAATCAAGCACCCACCATCTCCGGGTTCGCCAGCATAGAAGAAACAGCATCGATGGCCGCCAGAGTATGGTCGTCGTGTATCTGATGCCGCCCCGTCGTGTTCCCTTTCCAGATGTCTGATGTCGAAGTGTCGTTGGGAACATGGTGCCCCGGGCTTTGAACTGCGGGTCAATGCCAAGGCTGTCACATGCAAGTAAGGGGGTAGTGTTTCATACGGTCTGGCGACGGCGACAGCACTAATAATTGCTCTTTCGTGCTTCACATCCGCCACTAGTACTCATGTATGCTCTTCAGACTTATCCTCATGATTTTGTGGCAATGTCAGCTCAATCGACGATGGTGCTACCGTTTTCGTAGGTGTACACTCATCAATAAATGCACCTTTGGCAGAGCCTGACCGTGTTCACGACTACTTGAGGTGAGACAAGCTGACTTGTGATGGGAGATTCTCATATTCATTCCACTATCAACCAACAATCCCCTCTAACCCGTCCCACCAACACCGTGCTCCCCCTCCCTCATCATCCGTGCAACCCGAGAACAAGCAATATCATCGCATCGTGCCATCCATCCCTAAGTCGTGATACAAATACTCGAATCCGCCACAGGCGCGTCATGCCTGCAGAGCCCTCCCACAAAACCCACTCCGAACTCCGCAAACCGCTGTAACCCGAACGAGGTCACGGCGTCCCCCCATCAATAGTAGGACTTCCCCCACTCCCCTCCTTCTCCCTCGCCGCCGAAGTTGGCGTCGCAGACGCATTCGTAGACCCCGAACTCGAATCCTTCTTCCTCTTCCAAAACTTCAATCCCCGCAAGCGACTCCGACTCCTCGACTCCCTCACGCCACCCTTCCACGGCGTAGTTCCCGACTCATCCGTTCCCGCACTCGGCGTAGAACTCAACTGATTCTTCGGCGAAGTCGTCCGCGACATGCCCAGCGCAGGCGGCGTAGGCGGTGTCTGTGGAATCTCGCTACCTTGCTTAAATGTAGGCGGAGAAGCACGGTGCTGCCCGTTATGATCATTCGGCCAGGTGCCAGGGACCATGAAAGGGTCTTCGGTGGAGGGGATGCTTTGGTGGTGGCTCATCTTCGGGACGTGTTCGCCTTCTTCTGATGAGGGCTCCGTGGAGCCTTGGGTAGAGACTGAGGGCTGTGTGGTAGTCGCGGTGCCAACACTGGCGGCGTGCGATCGCGAAGAAGGCACCGAAGCGCGAGCAGCCTGTTTCTGGCTCTGGGAGATGCTCTGCCGCTTGGCGGAATGCTTGCCGGGAGATGACGACTGTGCTGGAATCGAAGGAGAGCCGCGTCTGTTAGGCGTGCCTCCGCTCGTCACCAAGATGGTCGTCAGACTCTCATCCTTGCTTCCGCGCCGCGAGCTCGGATAGCTCTGCTGAAGCTGAACGCCAGCGTCGGCAGACGCTCTCCGCGAGCTCGGCGTCGGACTAAGACTCTGATGGGCGTAGGCGGTCAGTTGCTGCAGCTGGTCCAGTGCCACGTCCTTGCTCGAGCGTCTCGATGAACCACTAAGAGGCGAAAGCGGAATACCGATAGAGCCAAGAAATGGCGCGGAAGCTCGCTTGTGGTCGTCATCCGGAGCCGTACCTTGAATAAGTTGCTGTCGAAGGCCATGCGCGCCATGCTTCGAAGGCGATGTCTCAACCCTGGTGGTCCCGGCGCGATCGAGCTGCTTCGAAGGCGATTGTGGCACGCTGGTCGGAACAGCGAGTGGCTCGGACTTGCGGTGGCGTGAAATCGATGTCGCCTCCTCGACTTCCTTGTTCGTAACAGAGCTGAACGTGAGATGGCCTTCGTTACCAACTGGCTTGCGCCGCTCTCTCTCCTCCTCTATGCGCTTGTCCCAGATCGCCTGGTTGTTCTCCAACTCCCTGACAGCGCAGGAGATGCAAGGCAAGACCTCAGAGATACCCTGGAACAGCGGGTGGCCGAATAGACTCATGAAGCCCTTCTGACTCTGCGCCGCTGCCAGCATATCCTCCGTGTCCGGTGGTCCGCCGAACAAACATGTCGGAATATCCAGCTCGCCTTCTAGCTCGCCTTGCCGCGCAAACTCGTTCATGAGGATCTTGGCCCAGCTCGAAGATACATCGAACGGTCGTGCGACGTTCGAGATGTCCGCGGCTTTCATCAGAAGTGCCATGATCAGTTCGCGAGTATGCTCTCTGTCCTTCTCGCTCCAGCTGTCGACGTCATCCAGATCACCATTCTTGGCTTTCGCTTTGAGGTCGTTCAGACTGTTCATGTACTCAAAGTGTCGCTGCATGTCCGTGGCAAGAATCGTAGATATCATGGTCGCTCTGAAACCAGTGATATTGTGCAAAGCGGGCCAATGTCTGCGCAGAAGTTGAGAGTATGCTGCGCAATGGTAGTTCTCCAACACGGATCGATCGTTGTAGGTCTGCGCAAGTGGGTGGTTGGCCGCTACCAGGAAAGCATTGTTCACGCCCGGGTGGCCGACATCGTGTCCAATACCAGAGACAAGTAAAATCAGGCCGTCCACGTGCGTGACCATCCGCTCTAAAGCATTGAGCTCGTTCTGAGGTCGCTCGTCCGATTCCAAGGGTGGGCACAGTCGCACATCGAGCAAGAAGCAGTACATGGATTGAGTAACATCAACCGCATGCCTCCAGTTGTGGTAGTAGACCTCCCGTTCGTGCTTGTACTGCCGTCGTGTCGCAAGTAGGAAACTCATTAGCTTGTCTCTCGGTAAGGCGTATAATTCCAGTTCTGGCGCGCTCAGCAAATGCTCGAGCATAAACATGGCCGCATACGTGAGCTCGTCCATATTCAGATCCGCAGCCGGAAAGTGCCATTTTCCTACGGTCTCTTCAACCGCGCGTTTCCTCCCCTCAGGTAAGCTTAAATCCGGGCGATGTTCTGCTATCCGCGGCTCTGACACATCATGAATGCTGTGCACAAGATTGTGCGCCATCTGAGATGCGATCAACCGTGCAGGTCGTCGCACTTTCTCCTTGAGATGGCCAATCATGTGATTGATGTCTTCATGCTGGAGCGGGCTCTGTATAAGATCCACGGCGCCCGCACTGAGACAGTCTGCCGTGAGTCCACTATCCAAGGTTTCATCGTTATGTGACGGCCTTCCAGAGTCGATCAGTATAAACGGCAAGACTGGTTGCTGGTATCGCGCGCCCTGGATATCGTCTCCCAGAGACGTGAGTAAAGAGTACGCAGTTGAGCTCTTGTCTAGAGTTAGATTCGAGTCTTCAGCTGAGGTCGACTGAGACTCCACTTCGATAAGCACAACCGTTGGCGAACTATTAGCATAACTCTCGAGTCGCTCCGAGCACTGCTCAGGTCGCGAACATAAGAAGACTACACATCGTCAGCTACCACAGTTTCACATATGTCCCAGGTCGTTCCCATACCTTCGTCAAAACCACCCTGATCCTCATCTAACAGAGCGCGCACATTGTGATACGCCTGCTCGAGCCCGGAGACGCCATTACTAGCATCTGACGGCGCCGCTGGCGGACTCCGCTTGTGATATAACTCGTAAACATCCTCCCTCTCGCTGGCGCAAAAGTAGACAATATTGCAGCTCTCTTGCGCGTGCGCTTCCATCGGCTAGACGTCTCTTCGCGCCGGTCGGGCAGGTATGCCCTCTTGCGCAGCACGGCTTTCCGGACCACGTTGTCGTGTTGTAGTTCAGGTGATGGTACAATGGCTGAGGCCGCCTAAGATGCGCCGCGGGCGCTGCATATGGATTCGGAAGGTGTCGCTCTGGTGGCTACGGTGATGTTGCTATCGGAAGAGCATCGGTACTTTAGTGTGCTGTCGTCATGGAGTTGTTGGAGCAGAATGCGGCGGGGGAGTGGCTTGTGGTCGTCGCGAAGGTGATTTCCTGTGGAATGTTGAGGGTGTGGAAGGCGCGATCCCGTTTTGGCTGGTCACGCTGGGTTGCCGGGTGGTATATGGGTGAGAGTCGATCTTCAGTGGGCGGCGAGCGACGATCATGCGTGGTGTCAAGACGAGAGGAGGAGAAAGCCTTGAGATCTTCTTCCATGCGTCTTCTTCGCGCCAACTAGCGCAGTCCTCTAAAGCTTGGACCAACTCCGTACATCGCGGTGGACGACTTCGACGGGCGACATTACGTTTCTACTTTGATCTACAATTACATGCTACATCTCGCTCATCCCAGCAAGCTCCTCAACCACGAACAGACAACTACTAGCCAAGAAACATCCCATGGCAGTGGTCGCCGGACATCCTTCCCTTTCCGACGATCCTGCGTGACGATCTTTCTCTCTGGTGCGGGCGTCGTCCGAAGTATGATATGCAGATGACTTTGCCAGCCCACACATCCCCGTATGCACCTCAACTACACCTTGTCCGCACGTCATCTCGATGACGAACATGTTTATACTCGCTCAGCTACTGATTATGAAGTGCCTCATAAGCCCCTGCCACACCTGCACAGCTCCACAGAAAGCATGGAAGGCTCCTTATCGCGGGGAAGTGCTTCCACTGCGTCCGACAGAAAGGCCCGACTTGTGGCCACTGCTGACGATCCTCGAGGATGCTCTGCATCTGCATCTGCTTTGTGCCACGGAGCTTGGAGGACTTCTCCGCGGTTTGTTGATAGATAATCGTCGAGCCACAGCGGATTGCGCAAACAGCCACTGCGCTCAAGGTCCTTGCCTGTATCGCTCAGCTGAAAATCAAAAGTTATACCCCTCGGGCTCGTCCTTTCTTGCAGCCTTGCCCACCGCGTGTTGAACGTCAGTCCTTGACCTCAGATGCCAGCAAAACGAAATAGCAAAAATGTTTGTAGAGGTCACGGCCTGCATAGGACGTCAGCATACAGTTCGACAAGTTAGAGGTCAATCATTTATCACATACCGGGATCGAACCGGCGACATTCTCCGAGTACAGTCGTAGATGTACAAACATGTAAAGGAGACATCCTAACCGCTAGATCACGCCTACGACCATGAATATATCAGTACGTGGTGTCTCAGCAGAGGGTATGCTGGCCATTGAACTCACGACCGCAGTGTAGCTGACGGGTACTCCCGCGTAAAATATATAGGCTCATCTTGGCCGCCGGGAATTCTTCGGGTTGTCGAAGTGAGGTGCGTAAGAGCTTTCACGTGCAAATCGCTGTGTGCAAAGCCGGGACTTCAAAGATACAGGGTTGAGGTCGTTGTATTTGTGTCCGATCGCATCATTGCTGAACTCGCTGTATTGAGTGCTCTCTTAGCATCGTGACTGCGTAACGCATTAGCAACGCATAAACAACAACGCCGTCCTCCGTCATCTCATCCTCGCACACCCCAAGCAAATACGCTCGTTCCTCAACACCGCGCACCCATCGCAGACTTTCCGCCTACAGCTCCGACACTCGACTTCTTGCGCTATCGTGCCATCATCTAGGTCCATCGCGTCGTCTCGGTGTATCGAGGAGTCGCAGTCTTCACACCTCAAACCCGCTGCGACAGGTTGACCTGGTTCCACATCAATCTGCATAGCAGTGTCCTGCACTGGCGCTGCTGGACTACTGTTAATAGTCCAGAACGAGTGCAGCGTACTCCTTTGCGGTGCTGTTGCGGGTGCAGTGTGTGTTTGTGGTTGAGATGAAAGCACCGGCTCAGCGTGTGGGTGCTCGCGTTGTGCCGAGAAGAGCTTTGAGATGGTGCTAGCTATGTAATCAATCAGCACACTATCTTGAACAGCACTCCTGGAAGTAACGCTACCATGAACGCTGCTCTCCTCCGGCCTATTATCGCGATGCCTCTTCATTGTCCTGCCACCCATATATAGAGGCGATGTGGGAGGGTCGGATGAGTATGTCGGAAAGGACCATGTTGGCTTGTCGTACAGGCTTTCGACTGGCTTTGATTGTGCGTAGAAGTACGATAGTGGTGAGGTGGCTGTGGAGCTGGGGGTGGTGGAGAGTGGCGAACAGCTGGCGAAGGATGCTGTGGAGCGCTTACGTTTGAGCCCCATCTGGCTGTTGGTGCTGTGTGATGTTCAAGTCTCCAGAGAATGTTGTGACGCTTGCGATATGTGTCAATGTTTCGCGATGCACGACGCGTGAATCGAGTTCCGCGTTCTGGCAATGACGATCTGGAGCTCGAATGGCCTGGGATGTACGCGTGCAGGACTAACGATACCGCACAACTCAACTGACCTCACTTCCCAAACACTTCAACACTCCCACCACATCGTGCCTCTATTACACTCACGATGGCGTCGAGACAAACCGTACGAGAACCCAGCCATGCAGGCTCATGGTATTCGTCCTCAAAACCACAACTCTCCTCCCAGCTAGATGGCTGGCTTGATGCTGTCCAAACGCCCGTCAAATGCATTGGTCCACAGTCACGAGACCAGACGATTGACGCACTACCGATACCAGGTGCGAGGGTAATCATTGCTCCGTAGGTGGGGTTACTTCAGAAGACATGTGGTCAACGACGACTAATGACGCGTAGACATGCTGGCTACTCCTACTCCGGTCCTGCCGCAGCATGGGCGTACAAGGCATGGGATGTCCGTCAGGCGTGAGTAAGCAGCGCGAAACCATTGTCCTTCGTTTCTCAATTTGGTCTCATCTACACCCACTCCTGATAATTTAGATCTTGTCGTTCTTCTCCGATTTCCTCGCCATTTCACTTGTCTTACTTTCGTTCGACTTGAGCGGTCCCATCGCGGACGTTAAAACATGATGCAGCACGTGCTAACGGCTACAACAGCAAGCAAATCTTCCTCCTTGGGCCTTCACACCACCACTATCTTACCAAGGCGGCCTTGAGCAAATGCACGCACTACGGCACACCTCTCGGCAACCTTACCGTGGATCGTGACACGACCGCAGAGCTTCAGAAGACTGGCCAGTTCGAATGGATGTCCCAGTCAGTCGATGAAGATGAGCACAGCCTCGAGATGCACCTCCCGTACATCTACAAGATGCTAAGCAAGTAGGTCCAGTGACGAACTCCAAAGCTCAACTACATTTTCTTGAAAATGAAGCTCATACATTGGTAGCAATTTCGGCAGCGACAACTCAAATTTCCCACTTTTGGTCCCCATAATGATTGGCAACACCTCTCCTTCCACCGAGCGCAAACTAGCACAAATCCTGGCCCCCTACCTCAGCGATCCCAGCACAGCATTTGCCATCAGCTCCGATTTTGCACACTGGGGCTCTCGCTTTGGATACACCTACTACCAGCCCGGTTCTGGACCTGCGACCAATCTATCGACTTCTGCAAAGTCTCCGAAGGACCCCGAGATCCACGAATCTATCAAAGCTGTGGACTTCGAATGCATCGGCGCCTGCGAAACTGGTAGCCACGACCGGTGGCTGAGCTGTCTGGGCGAGAACGGAAACACGGTGTGTGGACGGCATCCGATCGGTGTGATCATGGCGGCTGTCGAGGAGGTCAAGAAGAGCAGCGGTGATGAGGCGGGAACGTTTCGCTTCGTGAGGTATGAGCGCAGCAGTGAGGTGAAGAGGGTGAGTGAGAGTAGCGTTAGCTACGCCAGTGCCTTCGCTGTGGTGTGAGCATGAGGTAAGATTCACGAACTTACGGAAAGAGATGACCGTTTCACTTCGCCTTCAACTTCACTTTCGCTTATGCTTTTCTCCATGGCGACTATCTGTACTCCAAGATGGCTAGAGCAGGGACACCCTTAGTGGCTAGCGTCGCGGTCTCGACGATCGAAGTTGGAGCAGAGCTTAGAGGTGCTCTTGGAATCTGAGATGTGCTGCCTACTTCGATATTATGAGGCGCAGCTGCCCGAACACTCACAATTGACTCAGCAAGGCAGATCGTGCAGATCTATGTGCAGATCTGGTGATGCTTCACAGATCACGAGGAGCCTCCCGATACCGCACAGCTTGGACTTCTAACGTCACGCAAACCGCAAGTGACGAATCGCGTTGTCCACACATCCTACACCTTCACGCGCTCGACCAAAGGATGGGCCGACACTGATGAGAACAACGCATCGTCGAAAGAATCGATGCCTTCACTCGCTCAGCAACAAGATGCACTGACACTAACCAGAACAACTGCATTGTCTAAGGACTTGACACGACACATCCACACCTACAAGATGTCTCGCCTCGCGGCCCTCTGGTGCTTCGATTCTACAGACCAGAAACACAGACCAGAACTTCTTGCAGGACAAGATCGAACTACATCGACACTACCAGGAAACCAAAGACACTACCAGCACTTTCGACATACTAGCAGCCCTGGACCAACACCAAACAACGCAACCGACGACCGCCACTCAAGCTAATATGCAGGACTGCATCTTTTGCGGAGACCGCCTGCCGGGATGCGTTCGCATCGGCAGCTACGACATGTGTCCCGACTCCTACGCCACAGGTTCCAGCGAGCGATCGATACCGAGGACATGTATCCGGTGGACGTAGACGGATTCCTCGTCCGGCCAAGTCAGCATGCTACCGTCATCCCAAAAACCATGGCCAAAGCGTTTCGAGACAAGGAGAAAGAGTACAAGGCCCCTCCTGATGATCGAATCTACTGCCGCGCGTGCTCCACGTTCATCGCTGCAAAGATCGATGCGGCCGGTAGGGTCAAGTGCAACAAGTGCGAATGTCAGCACTGTTCAAAGTGCGGAGACAAGTGGTTCGAGATGAGAGGCCATGTCTGCAGGAGCAGAGACGAACAGGACGCTTTCAAGGGTTTGGAGCAAGGCAAAGACTACCAGATCTGTCCTTCTCAGAGGTAAGTCTTAGCCTTACATCATTGTCTTAGACATCTCCGCTAACGAGAACCACAGATGCAAGCTCAAGATCGAACTAGAGGACGGCTGCAACCACGTTATCTGCACTTGCGGCCAGCAGTTCTGCTTTGTCTGTGGCCAGCCGGCGACAGGCTCGTCAGATCATTGGAGGAGGGGAGGGTGTCCTCGCTATAACCACCCGGCTGCGGCGAATGCGCAATACGATGGCGCGATGCCGGCAGTGCTTCCGCAGCAGAGGGAGAGGAGGAATGCTATGGTCGAGCTGCGTCCGAATGAGCTGCCGCCGCAGCGCAGGCTTCTTGCGCGGCTACCCGTTGCTGCGGACAGACTCATGCAAGAACTCGAGGATGACTCCGATGACTTTTCTGACGATCCCAACCCCAACGGCCCGCTTGCAAGAGCCGCAGCGGCGGTGGATGCGGATGCAGTTGCAAGAGAAGGGCGACCACGCCACGAGGAGGCGCATCGCGAACAAGAGCGAAGAGCTAGAAGGGCTCAGGCGCTCGGACCTTTCAGACGCCCGACAGCTGCCGGTCAGAATCGCGAAGCTTTCGTTTGGAACTCACACCGCAACGCAGAGGTCCAGCACAGAGTGCCTGGCGAAGATGAGGAGCTCGAAGTCCCGGCTCGGCCAGGTGGCCGCCCCGCCGTGGTCGTTCACTACCCTAGACATGCACCGCAACTTCCTGGCTTCGTTCAGATGGGCGGGGAGAGACCGGGTGCGCGTAGAAGGAGGCTGGCGTTCGAGCGTCCGGTACGCCAGGAAGGGCAAATGCTTCACGCTCCTGAGGAGCGTGGAATGGCTCGCGCGGGCGGAGGAGCTGTTGACAGATCGCGTAACGTTGTGGCAGGACCTAGGCGTCCCACGACGATGGACGAGACGGATGCTATATTGGACGCTGGCTTTTACGACGCTGAGGAGGAAGTGCGAATGATCCAGGAGCGGAATCGCCCAGCATTTCGAACCATGCCAGATCCAGCCATCGCGGCTGCCTTAGCTCGTCGCAACAATCCCACGGATACACCATACCCGCACCACATCGATCGTGCACGAGCACGGGCCCCACAGAGTCCGCCTGGCTTGGAGAGTGCAAGGTAGAGCACCATGCAAGGTGCCACGCATGGCAATAATCGGGTGATGATGGCTCCACAGGAAGCTGAACAAGAAGCGATGAGAGCTCGAGACGCGGAGAGCAGGCTACGAATTT